CAAGAAAAACAAAAATTAAATTTTTTAAATTAGTATTTTCTTATTTAAAGAACATTAATCTCAAAAGTGAATTGTGACTTTTTGTCCTGTGACTTTTTGTCCGTGACTTTTTGTCTGTGACTTTTTGTCCTGTGACTTTCTGTCCTACATTCTAATTTGATAATATAAAGAGGGGGGAAGGGTGTTCAAGTTACAATGGGATTTTTTTTTATCGTCGGGTAATTTTGCCGTATGATATTTTTACACCGGGGTCAATTTCCTATATGGTATTTTTACTCATAGAATATATTTGCTTTGTTAAATATTCACAAAACTTAAAAAAGATCTGTTATTGCTAGGATTTCAAGGGAAATCGAAATGTAGGGATAGTATGCTATTCCAAATAGATTTCGGATGTAAACAATTATTGGTTGTCCAAAAGCCACAATGCTTGAATTTCGATAACACTGTATTTTTATAAAGAACACAAGTTCCTGAATTAAAGACCAATTAGCTTATTGTTTATGAACATTTGGAAGCGACACAATTTTGCACAATAAAAACTACATTTTTAGAATTTGTAAAATATTTTTCCTTTTTGCATATTAAATTTGGCCGGAAGAAATAAATCATAATTTTCAAAGATTAAAACACCCAGGAACACAAGCTCTAGATGTTTTAATCGATATAAACAAATCTTACGTTTGACATGAAAAAAGAATTATAGTTCTAGGTTTGTTTATTATAGGAATATTTAAGATTTTAAACATCAACCAAATAAATTTTATTTTTGGAGGTTGCTGTAGTGACAGATCAAAGTCGGTAACACCTTTTTTCCATAATGGTTTGTTGCTCAAATCATGAAATACATTGACACAAAGTAAAAAGATAAAGTCACACGTTGGACAAAATAGGCTGTTTCGTCTTTAAGTCATGTGTCAAAATGTATGAAAATCAATAATCAATGAACTTGTATTGCTTTGTTTGCACCAGTTATTTGATTCTATTCCTCACACAAAAACTGGCAAGCGATGCTCTTCCTGTTATGTCAGTTTTTATAGTCATACATCTAATCTTGAAACTAAAGAACCTACAAGATGCGTTGTTGTCTCTGTAAAGTTTTGTATGAATTCGGCTACAGAGAAACAAAAAGCAAGTCGGTAAGATGGGATGCACTGTGACAATAGATGACCTTTACCGTTTGTTGAAATATCAATGTGAAAAGAAGTGGTCAAATCATTCAGAATTTTATTTATATTTTATGTAATTATTATTAGGTTCTTCTTAAGATAGTTTTCTTCGTGACCTTAAGAAAGAAATGCTCATGTACGATTCCCATTTTTGTTGAAAAATCAGAGCCGTATTAGTTCAATGAGCATGAGAAATAAAAGTGTAGAGAGTGAAAACAGTAAAAGTGTAGAGAGTGAAAACAGTAAAAGTATAGAGAGTGAAAACAGTAAAGGTGTAGAGAGTGAAAACAGTAAAAGTGTAGAGAGTGAAAACAGTAAAAGTGTAGAGAGTGAAAACAGTAAAAGTTTTAATAGTTTTGCACAATTATAATGTTTTAATGGTTGCAGTTGAAGACAATTAAGTAAATGTTTATAATTTTAAAGATTCCGCATCTGATTGACGTCCCTGTGTCAATTTTCACAAACACAGTAAAAAGTGAAACTTCGGTTTGTATTAAGATATGAATGTGTCATAATTGGGAGGCGCTTCCATTTATTTTACATGACGAGACGTTTAGGAATAGTTATAACTTATAAATTAACCGATAGTCTAGGTCAATTATTTCCGGCAGATTACGCTTTAACATTTAATCATTTATGTCGTTTTTGGGGTGATATAGATTAAACCTATGATGCCATTCTACTCTTCAAAAGAATGAAAGATCTTCTGATGTTTAGTTAAAAATGCTTTTCCCCTTCTGTTTTAGTGGTAACGGTGTTGCCGATTCATTAGTCGTTTGACTAAGATATTTTCATTCGAAACATTAGAGTACATTAGACCAGCCCCGTTTTTTTGGTAGGGTTCGTGTTGTTCAGTCCTTAGATTTCTATGTTTTGTTTTGTGTACTGTTGTTTGTCTTTTCGTCTTTTGTCGTTTTTGCCATATCATCGTCAGTTTGTTTTGGACTTGGGCGTTTGAATATACCTTTGGTATCTTTCGCCTCTCTTTTGGCCCACATTATTTGCCTTTTACAGTTTACTTTTTTGGCTGAATTTCTGTTGTGAACTAGTTTCTATTTCAATAATATTTTTGACTGATTTTCCGCATTGTATTGATGTCAATTTTTTTGCTTTTTCGTACATATTTTTAACTGATGAAGAAAAATAGTACTCTTATTTGTTTTGATACAAATCTGCTTACCCTTCCGGAGCAACTGAGAACAGCCCAGTTTTTTTGGTGGGATTCGTGTTGCGCAGTCTTTAGTTTTCCATGTTGTGTATTGTATCTTGTTATTTGTCTTTTGATCGTTTGTCGTTATTTTGCCATGGCATTGTCAGTTTATTTTCGACATATGAGTTTGAATATCCCTTTGGTATCTTTCGGCTCTTTTATATAGCGAAAAGTAAAACGTAAAGGGTTTACACCATAGTATGAAAACATCATTTGATACGTTCCTTGCATTTCATCTATCTAATTGTATTCATTTTGTTTTTTTACCCACCTTTTTTTAAACTTGAAAGTAATCAAACTTATATTGTATCAAATTTATTATTCTCACTAGAATCCAATTTACAGAGCATGCACCAAGTATTCATAATTTTGTATGTCATATTTTTTGGAGACCGATTAAAATAAACAATGTTGTTCGTATCTGGATACTATTTGTTTATCATGTACCATCTTATGCAGCCTGATTTACTTTCGTCGAATAACATATTATTTAACTGTTCAGCGAGAAATTAGACTTTGAAAATTCAAAAAGTACGTAGGAGATAAAGTTATGGTGTTCGAAAAAGAGGGACGAAAGATACCAGAGGGACAGTCAAACTCATAGATCGAAAACAAACTGACAACGTCATGGCCAAAAATAAAAAGACAAACAGACAAATAATAGTACAGATGACACAACATAGAAAACTAAAGACTAAGCAACACGAACCCCACCAAAAACTGGGGAGTTTTTATGGTCGCAAACTGAGTTTAACGGATATTTGCGGCAATCCAATAAATAAAAAAAAAAATTGTTGTGCGCAAATCTTCAAATGCTATAAATCTGTTTATCATGTAATTGAACTTCAACACCGTTAAGTCATTCCTTTTTTAAAATCATGGACATAACGTTTTACGCTTGTGAGCTTAATTTCAGAAAGTCAATTGTGGAAGTAATGCCCTTGTTCCGTTACCCAATCAAAATGAACATAACAATCAGTGTTACATTTGATATTTTATTAGATCGAAAGCACGTTGTGCATGAAAAAAAGGTCAATCGTAGCAATGCTGTTGCTAACAATATAAGGACGGTTTCAAATGTTTTTGTAATTCTTACAATTATTCATATCAAGATACCATGACACTTATAACTAGCAATAAAAGAGCCTGAAAGCGTTTTGTTAAAACTTGCTGATATTTAAAAAGAAATATTTCTGTTTTCCTTTACAGTCAGTGTGTTGTTTGATAATTGTATTTCTGGCGGCAATTTTTCGTCCTGCATTTAGCAGCGAATATACCGACATTTATCTGATTCAGGATAATGTGGATCCGATTGGGGTAACAGGTAATTATACATTTACCGTTTGATACAGTTTATAGTATATTGTAGTATATGTAATATATACTAACAGACAATGTAGAATGTTCAATGTAAATTTTCAAAGATTCAGTGATTTACATGGAATTAACTCACAAATTGACACCGACGAAGAAAATCAAAGAGAAATGTGAAACAAAATACTTAATTAATTATATCATTATGTATTATATATAGTATTAGTATTCAAATAAATTTCAACGGCTGTGTGTTACAATTGCATTCATGAGAAGGCAAACAAAATATAATCTTCTTTCATGAGCCCAGTTCAAGGTTAATACACATGCCACGACAAGACTTTTCTATTTTCGACAAATGTTATGGAACTGAATAAGATAATCAGCATAGTAAAATATGCATATCAAATAGTTATTTCGATAGATTATCATAAAAAGTACGTATTTACTTGATTTAATAGAAAATCAAACATTATTCACAAGTTAAATTCAGAAATCTTGATGCAACCCATTTTTCAAAGCTATGTCAACCAATCAGTTGCAGATTGAAATAAACAATTAATTTCCCCATAGGCGACAATGATAGCCTTTTTCGAGATACAGACTTTAGAAAGTTGATTTTTTAAACGAAACCTTGCTAGAATTAAAGAAAAGTTATTAAAACAGTATTTTTTGGTCCAAAAAATATAGGTTCGCGTTGCTTTTCTTAGCGTAATTTGTACTTATCTCCCATGCCTATCAATTTTGCACTTAAAAATACGTGTCTCATCCTAGCGTTTAAAAGACATCGCAGTTCCGTTAGGGCTAAGGAAAATAATTTATTTGGCCTTTGGTATAATGCAGAATGCACGAAGTCTCTAATAACAAAAAATAACGGGCGCACATATCAACCAATCAGGGTTAGCTATACTCTTAATTCTGAATACCATGTTATGCTCATAAAATGGCTGCGCCCATAAAATCTAATGGTGTATTGTAACCTGCAGAAGAAACTGATATGTCTACCTTCAACATGAAGAATGAATAAATGAAATAAAAATAGATCTAAAAAATATGACCAAATGGTGATTTTGGGTAGTGAACATTAAAACAAAAACCCTAGGAAATCAATAAAAACAACTAAACGTCAAAATACAGTTATTGTCTTCTGACAGGTTTCTATTCAAAAGGAACAGCTCTGAACCGTGCAGTATATAATTTTTTTAAATGATACATTTCGCAGTGTTTTCAAATGAAAGAGAGGTACATTTAGTCAAACCCACTGTTATAATTGTTTTACCTTACTTATCACGTTATATTTCACAGGTGTAGGATCTTCTAACATAGGATCATTTTTACCCCTAATCGTGCCCTTATTTGTAATGATGATGCCAGTCAAAATGGCGGATGGCAGGATGATGAATATGATTGAAATGCTGATGATGAAACCGACAGTAGCTAATCCTCCCACTACAGCAACTACAACCACAAGAAAGCCTCCAGGTAAGTATACAATTATAATATGACGCCTCATAAAGTGGTGAAATAAGAATAAGTACATGTTATCTGAATGTGGATATGTAGATATAGAAAAATATCAGCCCGCGAGCCAGAATATGAAGCTAAATGTCGAGTGAGCGTAGCGAACGAGCCATTTAGCTTCATATTCTTTCGAGGGGCTGATATTTTTCAATATCTATACAATCCACATTGAGATACCATTTTTATCATCTTTCAAAGCAATGTTTTTTATCAAAATTTCCTTTTTCAATAATTTCGCGGGAATTGTTATTACCAGAGTGTCTCTGTTATTACTAGGCAACACACGTCATCAAAATATCAAACCGCGGATACACCTTGTGGCCAAAATACGCAGGGTAAAATATTCCCATTAACCAGAGGAAGAAAAATGTTTCGTGTACATGATAATGCATATATGAGAGTATAATATTTGAAGATGATACAAAAAGGAAAGAAATATTAAAGATTATATTGGAAGATCGTAGTATTTCATATCACCAGAAGAAGAAAATTTCTACTCGCTGACTGCTGAACAGCATACGCTTCATAAAAAAATTCCAGAAACGCATCAAAATGCTGTTTGTTTTCAAGACTAAAAGTACACATATATATTTAAGTAGTCGTAATTCGTAAAGGAGAAGTTAATTTGAGAAAGACAGATGTTGGTAAATTGTCCTTCTTGTATGTAAATAGTTATTATTTAAAATGAAATGTTTAATCTAGAGTGTATAATATATGTGCATTTAATTAATCAATTTTTATTATAAGTTTTACTGTGAATTTAAATGTTTTTAATAATTTAAACTGCCACCCCCGCATTTTTTGGGTCATTTTTTCTTCAACTGAAACGACTCTGTTTCCTCCAAAAAGTCATATCAAATGAAACCAAAGCATGCTGTACCTTTTTCCTATAGGATATACATTTTTAAAAAAGAGATAATAATCAAAGTATTCTCAATGTAAATTCTTCATAATTTGAAATAAAAGGAAATTGGTTTGCAATCCTTGTATGATTAAACTAAATATAACAATAAATTTTGTCTCATTGATTCCTTATGATGCAAGTTCTACTGAATGGACTCAAATTATAAAAAAGCCTAAACCAATGGCTTTAAGGTGGTACCTAACACTACAGGGAGATAACTCTGTAAAAATCAGCTAAACGTTTTAATTACGTTGTATTGTTAAGGAAATATTAAGCTTCTTAATGATCAAAATTAGTGTTAGTCAAACTGCTATATAACCAATGAAATTTTTCTGATAAAGTGGTTGGTTCAAATTTTTTGAAATTTTTATATTTTTGTCAAAGGGTCAAAGTAAACATTTTGTCAAAATTTTTTGAAAATTAAACGAGCCAAATTAATATTAGTCAAGGTGTTGGGTACCACCTTAAATGGTTTATAATCATGAACTTGCGCATATAATAAATAAGAACGAGAAAGATTCGATTTCATATTTTCCTTCTTCGATTTAAACAAAATAAATAACTATGCATATTAAAAGTACTTCATAGCAGTTTCTGATTGCTAAGTCAACAATTATGTTTTAGATCACCTTTTGCAGGATTCCTTGATTCATCACAAAAAAAAAATGATATTCCCAACAATGAATACACCTTATCGCTATTCCCGCTTGACCCGAGAATCTGTCCCGCTCGAACTTTTGGCGTCATACAACAATCACTTTTCCATTGTGGCGTCAGACATTTTCTATTATGACGTCAAAATTTTACGGGAACTTGTGTGATGTCCAGTAATGGCGGACAAATAGCGATAAGGTGTATGCGTTTTGTTTTAGTCATCTTAAGGTGGTGCACAGACAGTATAAAATTTCCTTACCTTAGGTTTTAGTTAACGTCAAACATTTTACTTAAATAGAATAAATAATCCAGTCAAATTTACTACAGTTGAACTCGCCATTGCTTTTTTAAACAAACACACTAAATGACACTTAATATGTGTACATTCTGTTCGGATGCATGTTGACATTGATGTGTAAAACCAAAAAACTACAATGTCAAAAAATGTCTTTCTTTTGGAATTTAGTTAAAACGGGGTTTCATTAGGGGTGACAGAACGTTAGACTTGATTTTTTTTTAAACTTTGAGATACGTATTATCAATTTTTTTTATAGTATAGATCTATGATCATCTATATAATCTTTGTTTATCTATGACAAAAGAATAAAAAATAACAGACAATTTCGAATAATTTATTATCGTAATTGTTAAAGGAAGGACCAATTTAGGCATTATTTTCTTTAATAATAAGACACATGCTTAACATATAGAAAGAAATCTATTTCTGACCCCAATGGCATGTTAGAAATAGAAAATAAAAAAATGTCCAAATTGCCGCAAAAATATTTTTTTCCGCGAAATTAACGCAATTTCAGAATGGCAGGCTTTAATATCAGTCCCATTGTTGTCTTAAGAAGTAGCAACAACGGTCGTTCCTAAGAGCTTGCTTTCCAACTACATTGTTGACATTTGTATCGATAGATGGATCTCAATAGAGGTCAGATCAATAGTTCAAATTAGGTCAAATAGTTCAGTTCTGAAAAAAGTAGTCCCGGCAGAACTTATCAAGACTGCCGTCGACACCATTTTATCAACATCTCGTTTCAGAATGTAAAGTAATTTTAGGAAAAAAGAAATGGTTCATTGTAAAATATGTACTGCAAGTGTAATTTATTTTGTTTAAAGAATTTATTTGGTGACTTATCACCATTACAATACAAGGCAATATGTTGGGAGAATTTGTTGATAAGTCCTGCTCACTTGATAATGTCTCCTCACTTGTACGCGCTAACTGGATACGAGTTTTACAGATACATGTTGAGGAAGCTGATATAGCGGTGGGGAAGGATGATAATATTCAATATATTGTATGTCAGCTAATAGGCCGTTTCAGAATCTAAAGGACTATGGGTAATCTTATTCTTCGTACCCCAAAATAAAAACAACGTCATTGGTTGAATTTCAATTGTTTAGGACGTTTTTAACCAATCACGACGCTTTGTTGTATACTTTTGAAAATATTACCCAGAATGCATTAGTTTCTGAAACCTCGATTTGCCAACCTTGCAATTTGTTTTGAAAGTCCCAATTTACTTCATGTTGTAGACAGTGATAAATAAATACGGAAACATATATACAAACGATTTAGTAAGTTTGTAAAAGCACGATATCCGAAATAAAACTCAGATTTATTAAAATTTGTTCAGTAAGTAAATCATTATTTATTTACAATAATACCAGTTCAAAAATGCTAGCGGTACCAACTAGTGCCAGTTTAATTTAAAATTGCCCCATTAGTAGAATTAAAAAATAATTTGAAAGGGAAAGGATTAAAAGTGTGTGCTACAACAAACCTTACGAACATCTTTCTAACCGCCTGTAATTGAATAATTGTTCAAACATTTCACTTGTTTGGTTTTTTAGCCTTACAGTCAATATTTGTAGTGTGTTCAATGAAAAGAACAGAACATATTTGCCTTGATCGGGAGTGCGTCAATCCAATTTTTTGTATACCTTAAGTGTCCCATAAGAACAGAAATAATTCATGGGGCTTGCATTTATAATGAATTTACCACGGGTTGGTAAACTGGTGTATTAGAACTAAAATGGTCTTTCAACCCTTACATTGAGTCACAAAAAAAAGTCGAGATGACGTGTTTTAAAAATTCTTTACACAAAGAAAAATCTGTTTAGACAAAATCATTCTCATAATTTTTTTTTCAACTATTTAACCTGAACCGACATGACTCATAAATCGTTATATTACCACAAACAAAATATTTTAAACTGAAAGTTCACGTGACAAATGCTTGCTTGAAACCTAAGTTGAAATAGTCAGATTTCGGAAATTTGAAAAACGCTTAAGGCATGAGGATAGTCGGGAAAGTGGTGTATGGAAAGATCTATAGTTTTTTTTTGTGTGCACCTGATCTTTTCCAATTTTTAAACAAGCCATGATAGGTGTATGTGATGAAATTGATGACATCGGATTTTGAGATGGTGTAGAAATCAGAATTGAAGTCATCTCATGCACCTTATGTTCTGTTTTATGACTTACAGAAAGTGAGAACACCATTTTAATCATCTACTGCCAAGTTTTGACATATCATTTACCCTTAAATTAAGGATGTTCGCTACTCTGTTTCAAAATAACAAGCTTTTTAAAAGACTGCTAAAAATGATAGTATATAAATAAAGGAAATAAAAAATCAGAAAAAAATGAAAGGTCCGTATGCTTTTTTTCGAGATATAAGCCATTGAAAATTTAGCGGGAAACGATTCTCTCTAGATTTTTTATACCGTTAACATTGGCCGCTTTATGTTTCAAAAACTATGAAAAAAATAACAATGATTTTATGAGATTTTCAAATATGGCTCTTTAAACTATATGTAATAAAATTGTGATAAGAAAAGTATGGGTTAGCGGACAAATTCTTTTAAAGGCAATACATTGATAAAACCAGAGGATTCCGAAAATCTGGCAAAAATTCAAAAATAAGAGGAGCAAACATCCTTGAGAAAAGAGAAGTCAAATTACTACTACATTTTATATATAATACACTTGCATATAGTTCTTTTGTAAATCAAAATGTTTACAATATAACTATTTACGAATTAATGTGAAAAGGTAACATATTGAATTTAAGCAGATCATAAGAATTATAAAAGTATTTTATTAGTATCTTATGAAATTAAGGAGATGAGAAATGATTTTTTAATTAAATGAATCAAGGAAGTGAGTATTTATTGGAATCACCTCCACTTTAATACCAATCTGTATCTACCACGGCTAATATCTCTTGTATTCAATAATTACACACCTCAATACACAATTCTTGACCTCAATAGTAAACCTATTATTACTTATGATATACACTACATAAAATTATTCAGTATATTATGAGTTAAAGTTGAATGATAAAGGAATTATAAATTTCATAGCCAAGACAACACATTAAATATA